TGCCCATCATTAAAAGAATTGGTAAGGAATGTTCTAGAAGACAATCTTAGTAGGAGGAAGACCAAAAAGAGGAAAAAGGAAAAACGAGTAGAAAGAAGGAGAAGAGATAATAAATATTTACTGTGTTAAGTCATTAAGTTTTGGAGTAATTTGTTATGCAGTAGTATAAATAATACAGAAGGCAAAATACAGTCATTTTCTAGCTGAGAAAAAGTAAGCTTGCCACCAGCAGACCTGTACAAAAGGAAATGCTAACAAATTTTTCAGGTAGAAGAAAAATGAAACCAGATGGGAAGTAAGATGTAAAGAAAGAAGAGCAAATAAAGTGGCAAATACATGTTTATATCTAATGTTTGATCAGATTTTAAAATGTACCACAACAATAAGACCTAAACAAATGGAGAGATATACCATGTTTATGGATTGGAAGATTCGATATTGTTAAGATGTTAATACTCCCCCAAATGATCTATAGATTCAATATAATCTGAATTAAAATCCCAGCAGCTTTGTTTTTCTAAAAATTGAGAAACTATTACTAAAATTCGTATAGAAAAGCAATAGATTAAAACAGCCAAAACAATTTTGTGAAAGAAAACAGGTGGAGGACTCAAAGGATCCGATTTTAAGATTACTATAAAGCTACAGCAGGCATTGGCAACCTATGGACCATGGGCCAAATTTGGCCTACAGCCTATTTTTGTTAGGCTCATGACTCTTACATTTTTAAAGGGTTGAAGAAAAGAAACAAACAAAAGTATGCAACAGGAATTATACGTAGCCCACCCTTTACAGAAAAAGTTTGCTAATTCCATATCTACAGTAATCAAGACAGTATGGTATTGGTAAAAAGATAGACACATAGATCAATGGAGCAGAAGAAAGTATCCAGAAATAGATTCACACATATATGGTCAATTAATTTTTGACAAAGGTATTAAAGTAATTGAATGGAAAAAAAGTCCTTTCAAGAAATTGTACTGGACCAATTAGACAATCACATGCAAAAAAAGAAAAAAAAGTCTCAGCCTATGTTGGGAAATAATTTTCCATGGGTCTCTCATGTATCTGCACATCTTAAGAGTTAGAAACTAACTGCCCTTTTGTTTCAGATTGTCTGTTCAAGGATAGCAACCTAGGGATAGGGTCTACCTTCAGAGCAAAGGGTAAGTTTGTTTACTGTCCAGATAAAAAAGATAATATATTGCTCTGGGGCAAAGGTTGGGCAGGTTTTCTTGGAGTCCTTTATAAAAGACTGATGTTCCCTAAACTTGTGGTTCCTCAGCTGTCATATAAACCCACTGTGTGTCCCTGTTTGTACTTCATCCACTCATGCCCTTCAGCATGGCCCCTGTGGGACTTAGGGGACAAGGGAAACCAATGCGAACATGAAATTCATGCTGCTTGCTTTATTGTGAGTCATAAAGTTCTTTGTCTCTATCTTAGGATACAAGTATTTTGCCAGAATTCAATGAAACTGTGGCAGGGTAACCTATTAGCTTGTAAGTAGGGTAAAATCTTGTATCCTTTGTTGCTCTTGACAACCCATACCTTGCATCATATACAAAAACTAACCTGAAATCAATTACAGACCTAAATGTAGAACACATAACTATAAAACTTCCAGAAAGAAACAGAAATTTTTATGTCATTGGGTTAGACAAAGATTTCTTAGATAGGACCAAAAAGTATGACTCATGAAAGAAAAAATAAATTGGATTTCATCAAAATTAAAAACTTTTGCTCTTCAGAAAACACTGTTAGGATTTCTAGAGCAGTAAAACTATTCTGTATATTCGTATAATGGTGGATACATGTCATTACGCATTTGTCAGAACCCATAGAATGTACCACACCAAGTATGAACTCTAATGTAAACTGTGGACTTTGGATGATAATGATGTGTCAGTGTAACAAATGGACTCTCTGGTGAGAGATGCTGATAGTGCAGGAGGCTGTGTGTGGTGGGGGTAGGGGAAGATGGGGTATATGGAAACTCTCTGTACTTTTCATTCAATTTTGCTGTAAACCTAACACTGCTCTAAAAAATAGTCCATTTTTTCCCAAAGGGCAAGGGATCTGAACAGACATTTCTCCAAAGAAGTTATACAAATGGCTAATGAGTATATGAAAGATACTCAACATCATTAGTCCTTACGGAAATACAAAACAAAACCACAATGTGATACAGCCTTGTACCCACTAAGATGGCTATAATGAAAAAAGGAAAATAGTGTTGAGCAGGATGTAGAGAAACTGTAACTGTCAAACACTGCTGGTGGGAATGTAGAATAGTGCTGATCCTGTGGAAAACAATGTCAGTTCCTCAAAAAGTTAAATATAGATGTGGCAATACACTATATATCCAAGAAAATTGGAAATATATGTCCACACAAAAACTTGTACATGACTGTTCACAGCAGCATTATTCTTAACAGACAAGATGTATAAACAACCCAAATGTCTAGCAACTGATGAATGGATAAATGGATAAATGGATAAAATGAGGTATATCCATACAATGGAAAGTTATTCAATCATAAAAAGGAATGAAGTACTAACATATGCTACAACATAGATGAATCTTGAAAACATCACATAAGTGAAAAAGCTAGTCACAAAAAAATCACATATTGTATGATTCCATTTATGTTAAACGTCCAGAATAGGAAATCCACAGAGATAAAAGTAGATTAGTTGTTGCTAGGGGCTGGAGGGAATAGGGAGCAATTGCTAATGGGTATGGGGTTTCTTTTCGGGATGATGAAAATGTTCTATATTTAATTTGTGTACTCCACTCAAAGAAAATCTGAATTATAAAAATGAGTTAGAAACAATAAACTGGGCAGTAACTGGACTTGTCACAGAGGCCTGTAAAATGTTAATATTAACTAACATTTTTAGACTACTTTACATTCTGAAAGTATAATGTTAACAATATCATATTATTTTAAAAAGACCACTTATTTGTGTTTTAAAATTATTTTTTACTTCTTTTTATTTGGGGGGGAGGTAATTAAGTTTATTTATTCATTTATTTTTAAGGGAGGTACTGGGGATTGAACCTAGGGCTTCATGCATGCTGGGCATGTGCCCTACCACTGAGCTATACTCTCTCCCCTATTTGTGTACTTTTAAGTTCTTATAACCTGCATGTGTGTTTGAATATGTTTATATGTAGGTATACATGTGCACCTGTCTCATCATTATCAAAGATGATGCTAAATGAGCTAGTTTCTGGATGACCTCTTAGCTTTTTCACACCTCAGGGGCCAAGTTAGCTGTGTAGCTGCAGCTGTTGGTCACAAAGCCCAGGTTCCTATTTCTGAGTCAGCCTCTTCACCATACAATCAAATGACCAAGAATTTGGTTCCAAAAGCCCTCATCAATGTTTTTCAAAGTTCAGTCAGCTGCAGGTGCAATCAATTACCTGGAGCCTTGACTCAACATCCAGTGATGAGTCTGAAAATCTGCTATTTTAACAAGCCCCTCAGGAGATGTGATCTGCAGTCAATTTCGGGAGCCCCAGCTCTGGGTAACTTTTCCTCACTAATGTGGAGAAACTGAGTCCTGTGCACATTCTCCCTGCTCACCAGGGTGAGAGTAGCATGCCTCCCTATTGTTAACCATAATGGGATGTCACTGAGCCTGGTGCTGGTTCTGCAGGCACAGTCTACTCATAAAACTGCCTTGTATTTCCATTCTGTTTGGAGTTTCTTCTGCTGCGGGCCCTGATGTCCCGTCAGAAGCTGCAGAAACAGTAGACAACATATAGGTGGCTCTGCCCCTGGGTTCCACTCACAATTTAGGACCTATACTGGAGCCCTGGATCCTGGTTTCTGGGCTGAACTTTGGATTCAACCTTATACTGACGGGGGATGATGGGGAAGCCTACTATGTCAGTAATTTCTCAGGACTGACTGATGGAGGCTCAAGTGGTTTCCCCGTTACCATACTTGAATGGGATGGGAAACTCACCTCTGATAAGGAAGCTCTTCTGTCTCTCAGTGGGTTTACCTGCCCCTAGAACAGACAGCAGAGTCAGGCCAACTCACCTGCTCATCTCCTCTGGAAACATCCATTTTGGCTCCTCGCAGTGTCTTTTGGAAACACAGGTATCATAAATTCTTCAGTGCCTCCTCATTCCTTCCAGGATCTAAACCACAACCCCTTCCGTGACCTACTGTCCTTGCTGATCTTTGCGGGTCATCTCCTCCACTGTCCTCACTGCAGGATTTGTCGTACAAATGTTGCAGCTCTCTCACCAGGCCAAGCTCTCTTGTGACGGCCTACTCCTCTTTACTAGTTAACTCCTGTTCACCCCTCAGCTCTCCAGCATTATTTCCCTGACCCTCAAGTCTGGATCAGGCCTTTTGCTTATTCATACTCCCAGCACTCTGGGCCACTCCTCCTTAAAATTTGTCAACGCTGAAAATTTTCCCTTGAGCAATTAGTATTCACTAGTATCTATCCCCCTCAGTAGGCGGTAAAGTTCATTAGAGCAGCGCTCTCAATTTGCTCTCATTGCATCCCCAGCACCTAGCAAAGGGTTCTCGCAGATATTTAGTTGGTTGGATGACTGGCCCCAGGAAGGCGGGTCACAACCTGGGTGGAACCTCTGGGAATGAATCAAAAATAGTCCCCAAGAAGCTACACATAAAACTCCTCAGAACTGAGAGCACCCGTCTGCGGGCCCAGTGCCCGGGGAATTCCCAAGGCAAGGACACAGCACAGTCCCGGCAGGCATCCAGCTGCTGAATGGGAGAGGGCCGCCCTGACTCTCTGCTTGGCAGCCTCAGTTTCCCTACCGGTCCCCTGCGGGGTCGACAGAGAACGATCCCTGGGCCGGCGGGTACACCCACGCCAGGGGGCCTGGGCTGCTTAAGTCTGAGGGGCCAGGCCCGGCCAGGCCGCCGCGCCCGGCGAGGGCGCTCCAGGCAGGTCTTCCCGAGCAGTCGCGCGCCACGGGGGCCCCTCTAGCTGCGAGGAGGTGGCGCAGTGCTTGTCGGGAAGGCGGCGGGCTGATCCGGCCCTCGGTGGCGGAGGGCGCCATGGTGGGTGGGGAGGCGGCCGCCGCGGTGGAGGAGCTGGTTTCGGGAGTGCGGCAGGCGACCGATTTTGCGGAGCAGTTCCGCTCTTACTCGGAGAGCGAGAAGCAATGGAAGGCTCGCATGGAATTCATCCTGCGCCACCTGCCCGACTACCGCGACCCGCCCGACGGTGGCGGCCGCCTGGACCAGCTGCTGTCCCTCTCCATGGTCTGGGCCAACCACCTCTTTCTGGGTTGCAGGTGCGGACCCCTGCCGGCTGGCTCGCCCTGTCCCGATCCGCAGTCCTACCCCAGGGCTGATCCCGCTCCCCTCACCTCACCCTCAAACCGCACTAGCTAGGCCTACAGCCGATCCCACCTTAGCTAGCCTCTTGGAAAGATACTTAACCTCTGTGAACCTGTTTCCTCGTTTGGAAAATGAGTTGTGATGACTACTGTATTAAAGGGTGAAAAGCACTTAGCACAGGCTGTCATCTAGCAAGAGCTCAATACATTCTGGACGTTCAAGTTGCCATTGATGTTTGTATTCTTAGTACTTCAGTCACCTTCGGTGATTGCATTTTAAATTCATTAGCTCCTTTCTTCCACATGGCAAATGTGCAGAGACAGAAACTGAGATCCCCAATTTACGTAAGAAGCTGAGAGGGAGGAAGAGAGATACCTAGGGCCTTGCAGCTTCTGGCAGGATTGGTGGATTTTAGCACTTATGGCAGGATGTAATTTGTGGCCTTTGGCTTTTTCTCACTTGTCTGCTGGACCCTGAACAAGAGCCAGCCTTTGCCTCTCTGCCTTTCATCTTATGAAAATAATAGATGCCTTCAAGGGACTGCTTTTGAAATGCCTGATAAAGCACCCTCTCTGCCCCTCCTTGAAGAAGGTGGCAAGTCTTGAGGATGCTACATCTTTTTTTTTTTTTTTAAGCGTTTCCTGAAGTTGTGTTAAGATAGTAAGATAACTTGGCTTAGTCCTGGTTTCTGTGCTCCTTATGACTGTCTGACTCTGGTCATATGGCCCCTCCAGCCCTAAGCTATTTGGTTTTGCTTTCAGATTTTAGAAGTTATTAGAGCAGAATCTGGTGAAGCAGTGCCAGTCACATCCCTCCCTTTTCCCTGCCTTTGGATACCTCTAGGAAATCCTGCTTAACAGGATCCAAGATTAGGCAAATGTCAGAACATTGGACAAATGAACAAATAATGTTATTTTTATTAGACCAATATTACATGTGTTCAAAAAAGTGAAAACATTTTGGCCCTCATACCATATCCATGAATATGGACTGCCAGATGTACAGTGCCTCTATTTCATAAGTCTTGTTTGTTTTGTAAATCTTAAAACACCTGCTCTATTGGCATTCCTAGTGCCACTTCTGTATCCACATGCAGAAGAACTATTTTCTAACTTGATGCTGAATGTCTATTGGTTTCCCCTGTAGTATCAGATCGTTCCTCTGAGAGTTGAGTTTATAGTCCAGGTACCTGCAATTTCTTTTTAGCCCACAGTGACAATAATTCTTCTAAGGTTTTTATCTTGTTACTTTTTATTGTACAGTTACAACAAAGACCTTTTAGACAAGGTGATGGAAATGGCTGATGGAATTGAAGTGGAAGACCTGCCACAGTTTACTACCAGAAGTGAATTAATGAAAAAGGTAAAGAGGATTTCCAAGTGCATTTGAAATGGTGTAGAGCTAACGGCCTTCATGATGATGTATTAGAGTATATTGTTTTTGAATGCTCGTTAACTACCTCAAAGATATAAGCCCTTTCGTTTTTATTTCTCTGTACTTGGTATAAACCTTTTCATAACTAGATAACAGCTCAGTATGATAAATTATGCATTGTTTGCAGAGTAACACATAAACTCAGTCTCTTCAGTTCCTCTACGAACATTTGAGCTTTTTGCTTGTTTTTTAAAGCAAATGTTGGGTATAGTGCTATAGTTTCCTACTTGTTAAAAAAAATCTTCTTGATAACAACTCATCCTTACCCTGGTGGGTGAGGACCCCACCAGTCTTGTTTGGCCCCTCTGACTTGCTGATGGCAATGTACATGGAGTAATGTCCACACTTCATAGCTGTTCCCTATTCTGCAGGGCTTTGTCTGATCTGAGGCTGTGGACTTCTTACATAGTGAGCTGTTACCTGGAGAGCCTTAGATCTGGATCCTGGGGCTGGGGCCATGGAGAGTGTGGCAGAAGGAAGCTCAGAAGATGGGGCTAGGCATCCCAGCTGCTTTTCAGAGTTTCCCAAGACATGTTTTTTTCTCATTTGCCCTCAGGTAGTTAATTCCTTAAGCATTAATTCCTCATCTCCCAAAGTTTATTTTTTAGCACTTTACCCAGGCCTTTTTTTAGAGTAGTTTTAAGCTTCTTGAGAGAAGAGATGGTGCTTAAAATATTAGTCTTTCTAATTCCAAAATCTAACATATGCAGTACTCCAGAGAAGGTGCTCAGAAAAGGCTTACGGAATTGACCAAAGCAATAGAGTAAAAGGCTGCTGGCCGCTCTTTCAGTTTTATCCTCAGAAACATAGGTAAGCCCTTGCTTCACCCTAGTTGGGTCTTGTTCTGGGAGGCAGGGCATATGAAGAGTTTCCCTTCTTTGTAGGTATGAGGAACTAATCAAACCCTCAGCTGCCCAGAAAATACTTCAGCGCCAGACAGCACACCTCATTTGATTTCAGATAGTTTCCCTAAAAAAGCATTCTTTATTTTTTAATTGAAACTGGAATCAAAAGTTTCAAGTCCATTTTGAAGGGGCTGTTTTGTTTTTAAAATCAGCTGTTAACAGGGGGCTACCATTTTTAGCCAGGGAGCCATTATGAATGGGGAGTTTGTGACTTTTTGGATTCTCTCACATAATATTTTTAAGTCTGTGAAGTCCTACGGTATCAGAGTGGTTCCTGGGGCCCAGGCAGAGGGCAGCTAGATAATTGCTGGCTGCCTGATTGCACCCCATGGGGCAGGGACAGGTAGGGAATAGGGTGGGCCCTTACTTCCTAACTGCTTATGACCAATTCTTTCCTTGACTTTTTGCTCCTGAGAGGTATTCTGCCCTGCCTAAGATCTGCTTTTCACATAAATTTTCTGTTATACTTCTCTTTCCAGGCATGCTAGGATATTAGAGATCAGAATATTTCATGATATTTGGGCTGCTGACTCTGAGAGAGACTAAGGAGGTTTTGTAATAAATATGCATGTCCCTAACATTATCCATAGACCAATGTGAAAAACTGTGTGTGTTGTGGGGAAGAGCCACTAAACTGTTAAACATAGAGATCAGAACATTTCATGATATTTGGGCTGCTGACTCTGAGAGAGACTTAGGAGGTTTTGTAATAAATATGCATGTCCCTAACATTATCCATAGACCAATGTGAAAAACTGTGTGTGTTGTGGGGAAGAGCCACTAAACTGTTAAACATTGTAAAGGAGTCTTGAACCTTAAAAATGTAGGGAGATGGAATGTTCATTTTTGACACAGTCCTTGCACACTGTCAGCCTCCAGAGAAGAATCCTCAGACATAACTTGGCATCCCTAAAACCAGCTCTGCCATCAGACTAATCATTGGCACCAGCTACCTGGAAGAAGCCTACAGGGAGCCTGTATTTCTTTAGGTGTTTTGGATTGCATGTGTTTGAACTTCCTTCAAATAAAACTTATGTTTTCTTAGTAACCAAGTTTAATTTTAGACTGTTGATGCCACTGAAAGTGAAACTAAGTTGATCCTGAAAAGTGAGATACTTAGAGAATGTGGAGTTTTGCCAGTTGTTAAGATTCTTTTAGATAAGCCTGTCTGTTCTGAGAACGAGTCTTCTGATTTGTGTGCCTTGACAATTGTATTGTGTTGAAGGCTGTCCCCTCTCAATTGAAGGCCACCCTAAGAGTCCACTGGAGAGAGAACCCTGGAGACTTTGGAGCAGTTCTTTTGTCTCTTGCCTGAGGTTTTTGAATGTAGTAGAGGCTGGCAAACATTCAGCAGCCTTGCCAGCCCAGAGACAGACAGACAAACAAACACCTACCATGATGTTGAGCCAATGCACCTAAAACCATCTGTTGTATTTCTGCCCAGAATTGATCCTTAACTCCAAAATTAGAGTTTTAGTTGGGTTTTGAAGGTAGCTAGCTAGGTGGCAAGTGGAAATGAATTGCTTAGCATTATTAGTATCTCCAGATGGGACCATGAAGATAACTTAGGGATATAAGTTCTTTAAAGTAAGATTTTAAAAACACTTTATGGCTTTTCTGCATTTGTGAGACAAGTACATTTCTGTGCTCTGTCCAACTCTGTTTTTTTGGTCTGAGAAAAGAAATGAGCATTGATCTCTGAGAGATGGTATTTGTCAAACAGTTGCAGCATATGATTTTTCTTTTGAAAGGGGGATTCAAAGACAAATATATTGAACAATCTCAATTATCTAACAGTCATCCTGAGGCACCTACTTGCAGACTTTTTGACTAACCAGGTTTACCCATTAATGAGCAATAATTAACAAAGAGCAGCAGCTCACTCAGGAATAGTGTTATTATTAAGACTGCTTAATAATAAGACTGTCAGAGTTAATATTTTCAAGGCACTGTCTTGAGAAAAAAGAAGAGTGATTGACTAAGAAGCTATCATTACTGCCTCAAAGAAAGAATTTGTCAACTCAATTACTTGGTCCATTTTTCTTGAGAACATTTTTATCCAAGAGGGAAAGTGGCAGTATGGAAAGTGACTAAATATGAAATGTGAAAGAGAGGTTAGAAAAACAAGTGTATCTACATTTCAAGAGGTTCGTTTTTATGCATTATATCCCATCTTGGCAAGCTCTAAAGTAATGGAGCAGCCACTCCATTGGTGGAAGGAGATGTAATTCTAAAATGGCAAGTATTTGGGAGTATTTAAAAAAAAATTTTTTTTTAGCCTGATTAGTTAAATCTGGTTTTGTCTTGCATCTGGAGATAAGTGTTCCATGGAGCTACTTTTCTTTTCCCCTTTATCCATTAGAAATAGAAGCAGCCAGAATAGCTCTGTCTGACCCCACAGGCCAGTCTGTTGCCTGGTGCTCAGGATGAGTGAATCACCTGCCAACACCTTGTGTCAAAGACCATACTTGGAGCAGCTGAAGCCGGTGGCAGCTGTTGTGCTGCTATAGTCTTGGTCTATACTATTGGAAATTTGAGAGATGGCTTAGGGGATTCTCTTTCCTTTGAACTAAAGGTGGTTTCTTTAGGTGACACTGCATTCTCTTCAAAGGAGAAAGACCTCTTATATTTTGCTTTTGCTGAGGAATTTTGCTTCTTCATTTCTCAAAGACTAGAGTGACAGGCTTAGCTAGGAAATAGGTCATCTCTTGAAAACTCTGATTACTAAAAAGACTCTCAGATTGATTCACTTGCACTGTTAAATGTTAAGGAAATCCATTCAAATACAAGGTGACAGCCAAAATGATTTCTTCACACCCTGCTTAAAAGTTATCTAAAGCCAAGTTTAAATTTATCAAAGGTGCTAGAGAGTACCCAGAAAGAATATATCTGCTTCATTTCACCACTATTTGAAGACATGCATTTACAGTTTCTAACAGTGTGAAATCCAGAAATGCGTAACCTTCACAATCTCCTGAATGTCCTGACTCAATGTAAAATGTTATGAATTACTCCCTGGATTCAACTGATTTTAATTTAGAACAATAAGTGTTTGTGTGATTCTGTTTTTAGAACCATTCATTACAGAGCATGCCTCGGAAAAAATTACTTTTAAAGTATTTCTGTTATCATTTTAAATTGTGAACATTTATAGATTAAAGGTGACAAGACAAAAAAATTAAGAGTATGGCTTTCAAGTGGATTGTATGGTCAGTGTTTTGCTGAGTTTTCTGTATGTAGTAAAATATCAATAATTTCTGAGTCTACTTACCATCTGGGTAGTACATAAATATTGCATCACTGCTATACTTCAGTTTATGAATTTGATTCATTACAATACATGGCTACTAACTTATTCTTTTTTTTCTAGCATCAAAGCTAAGGGCAGAAGATTCATCCCATTTTCCTCACCAGTCACAGCTTGGAAAGGAGGCTAGGATTAATGTGACACTGACCGCAGCAGCTCTCTTAAGACTCTTGGTATCATCATATAGCAAAGAGGCAACTGGAATGAAAGGGAATCTTGTCTAGGTGGCATTTTAAAAGTTCTCAATCTTCTAATAGCTATCACTGTAAAAGTATGCATGGATGGATATTTATGTATTTATAAATCATGCCCTCTTTTTTATTTTCAGTTTTTGAATGTTGGTCAGAATATTAAAAATGCCTGTTTTTTTTTGTTTGTTTGTTTGTTTTGTTTTTAATGTTGCTGTAATAATGGCAGGTAATGAATTTTACACTTCGGATTTTTCAATAATGTACCTTTAAGTGTGTTTCTGATTTATGGTCTCCACCCCGACCCCACTGAGGCAAACCAGATCCCTTATTTCTACCTGAAGTTTGCACCATCCATATACACCATTGCCACACACACTTCATCTTTTTTTGAGATGAGTGAGAATCAAATCATAGGCTCTAGGTACTTACCAACTCATGGGAAGAGGCAGGCTACAAAAAAAGGCTTATTTTAACACTCACTGAAACAAGGTTTCCCAGCTTGGTCCAGGCAGCCAGGGGACTTGTAGGTTCTCCAGAAGGCCTCGCAGGCTGCTGAGTAAAGCCCACATTCTCTCTTTCTGGAGGGAGCCTGAGACTTTGGTCTTCCTGACTTGAGGAGTTGCCTTGCATAGAGTCCCTCAAGAAATACTTGTTTAGTGCAGTGCTGCTTTGCTCTGAAATTCTGGTTCTTACTTTCCCCCTTTGAGTTGATGTATCTGTTTTTTACCCACCACCCCTATCCTCTTTATTTAGTACTCACTGTTAAGTATGTATCTCCAGGCATAAATACCAAGAGGGGCTTCACTGGGAGGCAGCAATGTAAGAGTCAGTCATAGCAGGATTCACTCATTACTGCCTGGTACTAGGCATAGTGACAGAATAAGACAGTCAACCCTGCCTTAGCCTAATCCACTGGTAAACTCAGGTAGCTGAAGAGGAGAGTGGCTGTGAAATCATGGTGTCTGGGGGCAGAGAAGTGGGACGACTCTCACCCAGGGCTCAAGGCTAAGGCCAAGCAGCACACCTTAGATGGGCCACTTCTTTGTGCAGCTTCTAGCTCTAATCTGTAGCAACCATTAGAGTGGGCCAAATAAAGAACTCAGGATCTCTGATTTATAACTTTGGATGAGCCCAAGCCTTTCCCACAGAATGGGGATCATAGAAATACCTACCACAAAGACCTATGGCAAGGATTAAGAGGTTAGAGGGCCAAGGATGGTGATCAGTGAGACATGGTCTCTTTTCGTCAAATGTAGCCTGTCCTCTTTCCATTCTGATTATCTGTACAAATTTGTGAGGCTTAAAAAACCAAATTACAAGATGGAAAAAAATAATCGGTGATTATTCACTTTTAAAGTACATTTTCCATAGATTTCTCACCATGGATTCTATTTTCTCTATAAGATATAATGTCCCAATAAAATAATAATACCGTGTCAGGAACATATATCCATTGCAAAGTCTTCAGTTTATATTTGAAGTTATTAACTAGAGAATATTATATTATATTCTCTAGTTAATCAAAATCAAATTTTTCTGGTGCCATTTTCTAACGGGTTTTCTCTCATTATTTCCTCAGCTTAAGCTTCCTGTTTTTTCTTACCTTTACAACCTCTGTGGCTATCCCACCTATAAAATTAATTAGTATTTTAGAATTTCATCCTTTTTCTGGAATAGTAAGTGGCATAGAAATCTAAATTACTGCATTGCAGCACTCCTTGTGGTGTAAGTAAAATGGCCCACTTTTAGATACAAAATAGGAGCTCACACCAGGTATAAGCTGTAAGCTCCTGGTCTCTTCATATACACAGTCCCGCCCAAGATGGGGTGAGGATCAAGTGTGATCATAGGAAGGGACATGGTATGGCACTGTATTACTTACTTCACGTAATGACTAGGAGAGGATCTTATCTGTTAAAGACATAAGTCTCAAGACCTTTTGAGAAGCAACTACAGTTGACTCTTGAACAACCTATGGATTCAGCCAACTGCAGATCGTGTAGTTCTATAATAACGAATTTATTGAAAAACATGTATAAATAAACCTGTGCAGTTCAAACCTGTATTGTTCAAGAGTAAACTATACTAATAGTATCAGGTTAGAGTGCTCAGTTAATAGCAATGCCTTTTTGATCCAGAAACTTCTCCGGGATCCATTTGGACCTGTGGTTTACCCTATTCCATGGGCACCGGGAGGAATCGCATTAACTATCACTGCTTATCCTCTGATGCTTTGCTATCTGTAGTAAATGGCAGTGAAACTATGCAGTGTTACATCTGAAATGAGATTTATATTATCCTAAATATCAGATACCTTGTGTTTCCCAACTGTCTAGCTCTATAGTCTCCACCTGGGTGCCCTTATGTCTGAAAGGGGACTGTCATCTAGCTATCATGTCTTCTAGTCATGACTCTCATTCTTGACTAGGGACACTTTTTGGTTCTGTAGGAATAAAACACATGTCTTAAGAGGCAAGAACTTTAGAACTTAAACAGATTTTTGGTCATAGAGAAACTGATTCCTTCAACAAGTTATCAGGTACATGCCAAAAAGAAAGTCTGCCCTCATGGATATTTTAGACACAGACACACACACTGGGGAAGAAACAGAATCTCACCTGGTTTATTTTCATTAAAATAAATAGTAATAAATAAAATAAATAAATATTTACTTAAGTGAAAAACAAGCCAGGTGAGGTTCTGTTTCTTTCCCAAAGTTTGCTCAGTTCCTTCAAAGTTACAACTCTCAGGACAAGGGGTGGCAGCATCAACTGCACTTCTCATTTTGGTTTGGAAGGTTTTCTCACAATGCCAGCAGTAGGGGCAGGGTCCTTTGCATGTGCTTCTGTCAGAAATGAAGGTGGGCCTTACTCACAGACAAAAGGACCAGCTGAGGAGGTGGGGTAACAAGACTGTGTCACCTGAACAGATTCTCTAGAAAGTAAAAGTTGAAACTATTAAGCTCCCATCAGACGGAGCTAATTCCTGTCTATTCTAGACCTGGGTATGTGAACTATAGCTTTCCTTGACAGTGCTATCAGACAAGAATGCCTCTTTAGAACATAACCCAGGTAGTCCCAGCCTAAGTCCTTCCTTTTTTCCCAACCTAAGAACAGCAGGCCAACAGACCAAAAATATCCTTGGATATGGCCCTTCAAGTTATTTGCCTGGGAGAAAGATGCTGTTAGGGGCCTGAGGCAGGTCTTGGTCCATCCCTGGTTTAGTGAAGGGGCAATTAACAGTAAGGTCAGCCTTGAACTTTGTGGGCCTGGTGATGCAAAGAAGCCCTTGCTTTGCTGTGAATGCTAGCACCAAAAATTCATGCTGTTAGGGCTGCGTTTTTCTTTCCCTTTGACGTTTTCTTTTATTAAAAATGTTTAGTTATCCCTAGTAGTTGTGAACTGGTAGGTAATTCCTTCCTCGAGTTATTTCACCTCACTTGTTTCACTTTAAGTTCCAATCTTTGGTACTTATATTGTAGGTATCTGCAAAGTAGGGATGATTCCTACTTTATTGGAGGATTCAGTGGAAAACTAATGTCTGTGAAAATACTTGGCACTTAATGAGCTCCCATTGCTTCAGTCCTGCCCTATTTGCCCTTTGAGGCCAAGCCGGGAAGGTCTGAAATGTTTCAAATGAAATTTACATAAAATAAAAATAAGTACCCACAGTCACCTACCAGGTTATCCCCAGAGCTGCAAAAGGGTGGACCTAACATGTGACTTGGTACCCATTAGATGCCAACATATCAGTAGATATGCAGCACAAATTAAGTGCCAGGCTGTCCTGGATAGAGAGCAAAAAACAGGATAGGGGAAAGAGTCAGTAGGCATCCAGCCTTGGAATCCCTGAATCTAGGGGTCTGGGGCTTACAAAGGCTGTAGATATATTCTTTGCTCCATGAACATGGCCTTTGCTCTAGCACTGGTTGCCTGGCAGAGGGCTTGCCCTGGAGTCACACTGTAAACTGACTAGATTCTGTATCACTCTGGGTGTAAATTGTGGCCCCCAGCTGACTGGAAACATTTGGGCTTGGACCATCACCTGCAGTCCTCATGTTCCCTTAAACCAGTTGTTTTCAACTTCTCAGGTGGTGAGAATGACTCATGCTTCCTTCTACCTTCGTGTTTACCAAATTATTTTTTTTATAACTATGTTCTACTTTTACAACAAAACCCAGAAAGCTGCTAATTAGTGTCCCCCTAACCAAAAAGAAAAGAAAAGAAAAAGGAAAGAAAAGAAAATGAAGCCTGAGAGGAAAAAAAAAAGCATCCCCCAAGGATTTGGAGCTTGGACCCTAGAGGTCCATTGCTGTCCTACTGGCCTCCTGCCCAGGCCTGTGCATATACACTGCCAGAGTTTATCTGGAAAGCAGTTCCCAGTGTTTCACTTTAAAAGTTCCAATCTGTAGTTGTTATATTGTTGCACTTAAAGCCTGATCCCTCAGACTTGGTCTTGAGAGTGTGACATGGTAATTGTGGTTTGTTCTTAAGCTGCTCTGCAAAAGGATACTCGGTCCCTGTCAAAGAACCAATGTATAAGGGCTAACAATAGCCAGGAAGGGAACTTCTTCCTAACAGATGGGTTCATCAACCTCACCACCAGGCCCCAGTACTGCCCTCGCTGATCTTTCTGGCTTACAAAAGATCCCTTGTGTCCACCTCTGGGATTGACACCGTCTTCACTCTAAAGGCAGCCTTCTAGCTGATGTTCCAGAGTCTCTACCTGAAAGCACAGCCTTATGTGCTCACGCAGGTACAGTCCAATAACCAAAGCTCACTAAACACAGCAAGGTTTGCTTTGGAGGTGATATTCTGTGGCTTTAGCTGAAGCTGATGACATGGGCTGAAGTCTCTGGATTCTTTCCTATTCTCTGTCCAGTATGGTTATCAGACCAAGAAGCCTCCTGTTCCTGTTTATCTTTGTACTAGCACCAACATAAAATCTCCCAACTCAAGTTTTGTAGAATGACTTTATATAGAGGTCAGCCAAAGAGCTGCAAGGCCCTCCGCATTTGACATTCTTTTGTTCAGCTGTGCGGCTATAGTCCAAGTTAGCTGGTAGGCGGTAGTATTCTTGGCGCAAGGCCTTGTTTGTAAAGGAGGAATGAAAGAGGGCTTCGGACCGGAAGTAGCATTAAGAGGTATGTCTTAAGTGTGCTTATGTTTGCACTCTGGCTGCCCTCAAGACACCCTCCTGCATTCCAGGAAGAATGATAGCTAAATGGTTCAGGTTGATGAAGCCTGAGGGGCTCCTTTCA